ATTATATGCCAATTACTCTAATTCTTCAAGAAATTGCATTTTTAAGAAAAAAATTTTTTTGGCCCATTGCCACCTTTGGCTGTTGAGGTTCCCATATATAGAGCTACTATAAGGGCCCGATAGGGCCCAATTTTAGTTTTTGTAAGGTTTTTGGAGGTTCTGAACATTTTTACTTAGAGGACCTGATTCTGTTTACTTAGTACGTTTTTGAGAAACAGGACCATAGATGTAAAACACCATAGGTAAAACTCTAAAAGAAAACTTTATAATTTTTTTAAAAAAAAATTCTTTTTTTTAATTTTACTTAATAAAAATTTAAGATTTAACCCCTATTACTTTAATAAAAAGTTGTAGAGAATTTAAAATTAAATAACTTTAATTATTATATTTTTTTATAAATTATTAAGCAAAATTTAAACTTTACTTAGTAGTAACTAACCATTTTTTTAAAAAAAATTTTTAAAATTTTAATAGTAAAATTAAAAAACTTGTTTTATTAAAAATGTAATATTTTTGTTAAAATTAAAGATAATACAATAAAATTTGGAAATTTATATTTGGTACACTTCATACTATGTATAAAGTCTAATTGTGGGTTTGATTATGGTCTGATTGACCAAACAAATATGTTACAATATCATGTGTTTTAATTTGGTATTACACATTTGGTACATATAATTTTGTGTACCTGTACCTATTACACATTTGGTATATATATACAATTTTGTATATCTATACTGTTACATATTTGGTACATACAATTTTGAGTATCTGTATCTATTAAATATTTGGTATTTATGTTTTTTTTTAGGCCCAGATCATTAGCAAAAATTTGATTGATGTGAAGTAAAAGTTTGTTTGCTATTTACTTGATTAAAGAATAATGTAATTGCATCTGAAATTTTAAAAAAAGCATGTTTGAAATAAATCCTTTTTCTGTTGGCATAGTAGTTATATAAAATTTTCATGAAAGTAAATAGAGCAAGACAATATTTTGATTTTTTTTTCATTACAGCCTAGTTTAATAAAGAACAAAGTAAATAAATTCCTAAACAAGTGAAAATGGAATTGTTAGATACACTATTTTAAAATTTTAAACAAGTGCTGAAAATTTACTTATCTGAACTACAGATTTTATATTAGTTATAGCTTATATACCAACTGGATTATCAGATTTTCTTCACTTTATTTATAGTTTTAAACATAATTTTCTAGCAAAAAAATAGAGATACCATATTATGTTTGAAACTATTAATCATCTTTGTCATCTAAGTTGTAAATTACTATAACTAAAGTTAACAAACATTAATCTTTTGCCTAATACAACACTATTTATATTTACTTTATCTATTTTTTAGAGCAAAAATTCTACTTTTAATAAATATTTACATCAGCAACCTACAAGTTCTATGAGATCTAATACTGAAATTTACTGTGCTAATGATGAGTCCAGTGAAGATTTTTTAATAAGTTTGACAAATAATCAGATAATAAATTTGACAAATAAATAAAACTTGTAAATATATACAAATGCAAGTATTTGTAATTTTGTTATTAAGAATTAAATAAAAATAGATTTTAAAATTTTTATATTTTGCAGAGCAATTTTTTCAAGTTAAAGATTCTATTTTTAACTACATCTATATAATCAATCTACAAGTTTCACAAGTTCTAATATTGAAATTAATTGTGTTAATCTTGAGTCTAATAAATGTTTAGTTAATAAGGTTAATAATCAATTGAATTATAAATTTAAATAACAGGTAGAACTTTATAAAAGTATATTAAATATAAGTATTTATAATCTTGTCTTTAAGAGTTAAATAAAGATAGTTTTTAAAACTTTTGTGTTTGATAGGGCAACAATTTAATACTGTTGATAAAGCATATGCTGCAGTTAAGAATTTTGCACATTCAAATAGGTTTGGAATTAAAAAGGGTCATGTTAAAAAAGATGCAAATAATGATTATGAAATTTCAAGAACATTCCTAGAAATAAAAGAACTTGCCAAAACTGAAGATATGTTAAATTTTGATAGTTGAAAAGAAATTGAAGTCAAGAAAAATAAACAAAAGAAGATCGAAGCTGAAAGAAACAAATATAAGGTGCTTGATTAATACTCTGTTGATAATAACAAATTTGACCTTTAATGAACTTTTGAAGATGAAAATAGAGATGTTAAGCAGTTTATTCAGTCCAGTTCTGGTTCAGTTCCAAGAAGTTTAAGAAAAAAATGAACTGAACTGAAGTTCATAAACTTTAGATTAACTTTAAAGTTCAAACTTGAGTTTGAACTTGAGTTCATAAACTCGAAGTATAAACTTCAGGTTAGCTTTAAGTTCAAGCTCGAATTTATAAGCCTAAGTTTATTTAATTCTATTCACTTGAGTAATTTATTATATATAAATGCATTAATTGATAATCTTTAAAATACATAGCAATTAAATATGAATAAAACAAAATTAAAATGATTATAATGTATTCATTGCTTAAAATATATAGTTTATATCAAATACTTTAATTTGATATATTCCAAATATAATAAAGATCAATCCAAAAATTATTGTATCAACAAAACCTGGGCTTTTACAAGATTCTAACTATATTATATGTTATAATATCATTAGAAATAAAATAAATTATTGAATATATTATGATTTAACTAGTTTATAAATCAAGTTATAAACTAGTTTTATAAATTAAGTTTATAAACTAGATTTATAAACCAAGTTTATATCTAGGTTATAAAACTAGTTTTAGAACTTGAGTTAATTTTTCTTTGAACGAACTACTAAAAAAACTAGTTTGAACTAGGTTTAAACCTGGATTATCTGAACCACTTAATATTCCTAGATAAAAATCTGAATATCAATACAACCTTGGAATAGGTAGTCGAGGTAATGTAGATGCACTTGATAAAGAAGATAAATAAAATCAGAAAAAGGAAAAAAGAGATAAAAAACATATTCACCAGGCCTGAAAACATGCCAAATTTTAAAAACTGTTAGTTATTAAATGAAGTCAAAATTGATAAATATAAAGTGCTCAAATAGTTTCCAAAAAGTGTTGAAGATAAAAGCCCTAATAAACAATATGAATATGATCTTGGGCAGTTCACTCAAAATAAGATCAAATTCGAAGTGGATAAACAACATTAGGGTAAAATAAAATGATAGAACTGTAAGTGATAATGATGAAACTGTTATAGATAAAGAAAATGATGAGAAAAAAGAAGACATAAAGATACTTACTGAGAAAAGATGCTGGGCTATGCCCACAAATTATAGACGAAGAAAGTCAATAAATTTCAAAAGCTGTAGGTGAAATAAAAAAACTACTGGGATGAAGCTTGTCGAAGTTGAAGTGAATGAATGCAAGACATATAATTGTTAAATATCTACTGATATGGTGATGCAAAAGAAATAATAAACTTTGTATACTGTTATCAAAATAATATTGTAGTTGGAAGGAAAAAAACAGGTGAATATTATTTGAAATGCATTGAATATAATGATGTGAATAGCAAATTTGACTCTAGTGGATGGTATAATTGGAGCAAAAGAAGGTTTGAGAAAACTTGTAAAAGTTGAAAAAAGAAGATTATTGAATTTTTAAAGTTGAATATATATATAAAGATCAAAACCTAAAAATTTTTATACAATAAAGACAAAGAGAAAATTAAGTTAAGTAAACCAAGCAACAGTAAACTCATGATGAACTGGATAAAAAGAACCAACCTATACTTACTACAATAAGACAGAATCATAGTCTTTGATCCTGGTCATCTAACTTCTCTATTTAATCCAAAAGAAACTATCGACTGTATGCCAAGACTTCTATTAATAATCCTAACTTGAAAGTAAGTCTTGTGGAACTTGAGCATAAGTGGGAGAGAAATGTGAGCCCCAAAATACGAATTACCTACTGTGGCTCTGTGCAACCCATGAACACAGAATCAAGTTCAAATTTATCACATTTATTTTGATATATCAAACATATCAAATATATTAAATATATCAAATATATTTAATATATCAAATATATCAAATATATTAAATATATCAAATATATTTAATATATCAAATATATTGAATATATTAAATATATCAAATATATCAAATATATTGAATATATCGAATTTATCGAATTTATCAAACTTTTTGTAATACCCAAATCTTTTATTATAAATAAAGGCTGTGAAAGCCCTGAGAACAATAAGTTCCATTTACTTACAATTATTGTTCAATAAAAATTACCCAATTGACCCAAGTACATAAATAAACCTGCTCTAACTAATTACCTTTTATTCTGATCAATCATTAAGTGGCATAGTATAAGATTTTTGTTCATTAATTGACTTGTCCACATGACTTTGTTTTTCCAGCTAATTTTTGACAGACTGAGAACTGCTATGGTTTTCCAATTATCCCAACATACTGTGAACTAGTTGTAGTTATTTTCAATTTCCCAACAGACTGTGGAATCTGTAGTTATTTTGTTTCGGCTTCAAGCTCAAGTGAAGGAACTCAAGCCATGGTTCAGTTAGAATTAATGTAGTTTGACAATATAAGTGTTAGCGTGACATAAACCAGTTCCAATATAAGTTTCAAGAAGATAAACCTATGTCCAAAATCACCCTCGCCCAAATCTAAACGCCTCCATTTCGACTAAGCCTAACATAGGTTACACAAGGCTTCAATTTGTCAAGCGACTGACTCGCTGTCTTAGGTTGTCAACATGTGATCATAACCGGATGTTCGATCGGATGTCATGTGATTCGAGACAAAAGCTGCTATTATAATTCATTCAGCTTTAAGCTCAGCAATGCATTCATAAGGTCAGTAAACTATTTCACAATTTTGGAATTCGGATACGATCTTTATGACATTTTCCTATCACATTTTAAACCCAGAATAAAAATCTTACATCATACTACATATGTATGTACAGTACATAACATAATTAATTTCCAATTATGATATTGATTATGATTAAATGTCGTAATTTTATGTCTTTTTCGGTTACCCGCATAACAAATGTCATATGTACGTATGTAATTAATTAATTTTCACACTTAGATCATGTTTCAGATTACAATTTCCGGATCTAAAAACGTTAAAACCTACAAACCCATTAAATTATATAGAAGATAGATTATGATTATTTGTATCCGCGCCTAGTGATGGGACCTCTAAATTAATAACGATAGTAATTAATAATTATTAATCAATTAGGTGAGTTATTAACTAGGAACAACTTGATAATGTGTAGTGCGGTATCATTCTCAATTTCATTAAATTTATCAGACTTTAAGGTTTAATTTTATTATGATTTTACATATGCTGTAATATGCAGTTTTCTAATGTAATCACATAGCGATTATTAGCAATAATTAAATTATTACTGGTTAATAATTTTAGTGTTTTTTTATTATTAATTAAAACTCAATAGTCCAGCGCATAAAATTATAAAAATCTGGTTTGTCGTGATTGCATTACATAACTATTTAATTATAATTATTGTCGCGGATGATGGTGAAATTTGGGGGCCTTGATTTAAAAATATAAACCCTACTAAAACCCACCTATACTTTTTTATTATAAACTCTAACCCTAAATCCTAGTCCAAATCTAAAAAAAAGTCCAAAAAAATATACCCTAAAAGTCGTATATTAAATTTGGTTTGATTTCACGATCATCCGTGACAATTATTATAATGTTATATTATTACGGTATCGCATTATTATTACACTATAAAGATACTATAGTATTATGATATAATGGCATTAAGGCATTAAGGCATTAAGGCATTATGGTATTGCGGCATTACGGTATTACGGCACATAATATTTACGGTAATTAGGTTCTGTGCCGTAATTAAGTCTACGATATGGTGATTCAGTAATTCTACCGCCAACAATAGGTGGGTAGAACGTTAAACGAAATTGTAATTTCAAGAAGCCTAATTACTATGAAATTTTGAATATCTACAGTTGACTTGAAATAAATTAGATTAGTCAATAACTACTTTAACCGAATTTGTATTTCTACTAAGAAACGGTTTCATTACTTGCTTACGCATAGGTACAGTAAAAAAAAACATCTGGATCCTGTTAATATTTTACATAACCTCGTGCATATGATCCAGTTTTATTGAATTACGGTAATTTTATAGCCTTAACCAAGAATAGATGTTATGACTCAAAATTTTTGCTTATGAAATAATTTTTTTTTTTTTGCAAAATTTAAGTTACCTATATTCTAACCTATTTAACCTCTGAATTAATTTATATTTCTTTGGCTTCAACTCGCACAAATTCAAGCTCAAATTAAAAATTACCATTGTATTAGTATTTAGCTTTTTTAAATTTCGATAACATTATTATGCAATACTTAGTGTTAGTAGTCGGTTTCTAAATGTCGACTAACTAAGCCGATGATGTAAAATTCGGCGTAGCTGGCTTAGTCGACTATGTAGTGATCATATAAAAATAAAACTTTACATTTAAAAATTCTTTTATTGACGATATATAAGTTAAAAGAAAACCGATACATATTCGATACGTAAATCAAAATACTTTATTATAATTAGCTTTTATTATTATTATTATTGGTTTCTTACTAATATGCATTGAACAATTGCTCATTTCAGAGCACCATATACTGTAAATAATCAGCTGACTAATAAAAAATTATTTAAGGAAAATAAAAATATTCAACCAATATTTTGTTTAATTATACCCACATTTATTGTATATTGAATAAAGAATCTTAAACATATATTTAGTATAGTATTAAATTGAGAATGAATTTTGGTATTATGAATTTATAGAAAGTCGACTAAGCTGATCTTCGAAAAAAATTGTTTGACTTAGCCGACTAAGTCGACTAATGTGTATTGACTACAATACTTGACAATCCATTGATATTACAACATGTCTACAGATTTTTGATAATAAATGTATGCCTTATATTCATCCTTTTCAACTCCAATTCCATAAAGGTAACAATGTCCCACATCTCTTACTCCATTAATATTTCCC